TACCATGTCATAAAACTGACGATGCTCCTAATATTATAGACTTATTCTTTAGGAAAATAGTACGTTTACATGGACTACCTAAAAGTATAGTGTCTGATAGGGACGTGAAGTTTTTGAGTCATTTTTGGCGTGTTCTGTGGAGTAGGTTAGGAAGTAAGTTATTATTTTCTACAACTTGTCACAACTTGTCACCCACAAACAGATGGACAAACTGAGGTAGTTAATCGAACTATGACTCAACTACTTAGGACAGTGATCAATAAAAATCTGAAATCATGGGACGAGTGTTTACCGTTTATAGAATTTGCATATAATCGAGCTACACATTCTACTACTTCGTCTTCTCCTTTTGAAATTGTTTATGGTTTTAATCCACTAACACCTATGGATTTAATGTCTTTGCCTGTGGATGAATGAGGTAGCTTGGATGGGAAACGAAAAGCCGAGATAGTGAAAACACTCCATGAAAAGGTCAGGATGCAGATCGAAGAGAAAGGAAAGTTGATTACATCAAAAGCAAATAAAGGAAGAAGACGCGTTACATTTGAGTTTGGAGATTGCGTCTGGGTGCATTTCAGAAAAGAGCGTTTTCCAGAATAGAGGAAGTCAAAATTGCAACCACGAGGCGATGGACCGATTCAAATCATCGAGAGGATCAATGACAATGCATACAAAGTGGATTTACCTTGTGAGTATAATGTTTCAGCTACTTTTAATGTTGCTGATCTTTCTCTTTTCGATGCAGGTTTAGATTCAAGGACAAATCCTTTCGAAGAGGGAGGGGATGATATGATCCAGGAGTCGAGCCCGATGAAGGCAAGTGCGAGACGAGACCCGTTGATAGTCGATGGCGGACCAATGACGCGATCAAGGGCAAAGCAAGTGAAACAAGCGATGGGATTGCTCATTCAAGAAACCATTGATGGAACCATGTTCGGGACTCAAAATGGAGCAACTTTCATGTTCGGGTCGAAGGCCGAATCAACTTGGATCAATTTGTTATCAAGCGACGAAACCGGAGGCTGAAAATAAGCTTGTGCGACCGCACAGCAAAAACACAATGCGGCCGCATAGTGGCATATCGAAACTTAAATTGGAATTTCTTGTTGAACCATGCGACAGCATGGAAATACACCATGCGGCCGCATAAGCAAAAAAATTGGCGAATTTTCTAATTTTGGCCGAATTTCCTAGTTTCGATAAAATTCTTATGAAATCAAATTATTACCATAATTTGATGGGTTTTGGACGTTTTTACTTATTTGTATAAATAGGAGATTACTTTTCATTGTAAGGACTTTTGACTTTTTGTTTGAATAATATTATAGAGAGAGAATTTGTTCTTTCAATTTCTTGTTCTTCTTGAACAATCTTGGAACTTATCAAAATTCAATTTCTTGTGGTGTTCTAAAAAATCGGATTGTGGGTTCTTTTAATTGTAATCAAGAGATTTTAGGTTCTTCGCTAATCTAGGGTTTCTTGGAGTTCAAGATCCAAAATTGGACTAGAATTGGAGTTCTTGGGTTCCGCATCAATCTCGTTGTGGGTTACAGCTTCATATATTGTTAATAGGACCCTCTCAAGTGCTCTAGGTGATAAAACCCCAGAAGAGCTATGGACAGGGCATGTTCCTGATTATTCTCATTTAAGAATCTTTGGTTGTGCTGCCTATTCCCATCAGAGTATAGGAAAACTTGAACCTAGGGCCCAGAAATGTGTTTTCTTGGGATATCCCGATGGGGTTAAAGGTTATAGAATATGGAGTAAAGAGGTAAAAGGTTTTAGAATCATCACCAGCAGAGATGTTACTTTTGATGAGTCAAAACTGCCTTGTTTAAAAAATAAGGAGCCAAAAGGGCTATCAGGTCATGAAAGGAGTGATAATACCAAGCTGCAGGTGGAGCTTGGCTTACCTACTGAACCTGTTAGTGATGAACATGTGGATGAAGAAGCTGAAACAGCTTCTGGTCCTCTAGAAAATGAAGAGGAAAGTGTTCAAGAAAATCTGGAAAGTTAGCCTGATGAATTGGGAGATTACCAATTAGCTAGAGATAAGACTAGGAGAGAAGTAAGAGAGCCTGTTAGGTGTGGGGATTACCTTTCACTTGCTGTTTTGTCCTATCAAGACTTAGTGTTTAAAGAACCAAAATCTTATGAAGAGGCAATGAGCTGCAAGCAATCTGAGAAATGGCATGCTGCTATGATAGATGAGATGGACTCCTTAATGAAAAATGAGACTAGGACTTTAGTTCCTAAACCTGCAGGTAAGACCCTTGTTGATTGCAAGTAGATCTTTAGTGTTAAGGAGGGAAATATTGAAAAGATGCCCATAAGATTTAAGGCTAGACTTGTAGCGAAAGGATTTACGCAAAAAGAGGGCATAGATTATAATGAGATATTTTCACTTGTGATAAAGTACATAACAATTAGAGTTATGCTTGCTCTTGTTGCTCATTATGATCTTGAACTTGAACAAATGGACGTGAAAACTGTCTTCTTGCATTGTGACCTTGTCTTTAAGTGCTGAATTTGAAATGAAAGACCTAGGACATGCAAAGAGAATTCTAGGAATGGAAATCACTAGGAAAAGGCACCATAGGTTATTGTACTTGAAGCAAACTGCATATATTGAAAAAATGTTGACTAAGTTTGCCATGCATAACTCTAAATCTGTTTCACTTCCATTGGCCAGCCATTTTAAACTTAGTAAAGAGCAATGTCCTGTAGATGAGTCTGACATTAGACAAATGGAAAATGTACCCTATGCTAATGCTGTAGGTTCTGTTATGTACACTATGGTATGTATTAGGCTTGATGTAGCTCATTCTATTAGCACACTTAGTAGATTTATGGCCAATCCAGGACCTGACCATTGGGTTACTCTAAAATGGCTGTTGAGATACTTGAAAGGATCTTCACATGTTGGTTTGATTTTTAGTGCCTGTAATGAAGGTGTTGTACTTAAGGGTTTTGTAGATTCAGATTTTGCCGGAGATAGAGACAATAGGAAATCTACTACTTCTTATATGTTTACTTTGTGTAAAACATGTATTAGTTGGAAATCTCAACTTCAATCTATTGTTGCTTTATCTACTACTGAAGCTGAGTATGTTGCTGCAACTGAAGCAATAAAAGAAGCTTTATGGCTTAAAGGCTTGTTATCTGAAATAAATGAATTGAGTAACCGTGTTGTCTTATATTCAGATAGTCAAAGTGCAATTCACCTATGTAAAAACCCTGTTTTTCATGAAAGAACCAAACATATTGATGTTAGTGGCATTTTATTAGAGATGTTGTTTCTAAAGAACTTATTTTACTTGAAAAAATTGCAACTCAGCTTAATCCAGCTGATGTAGGTATTAAGGTAATACCTTTAAACAAGTTTAAGTCTTGTTTACAAATTTTGAACATTAATGCTGGTTAAGTGTTTTGTTCTGTATAGGTGCTAAGGTTGATGCTTATTGAGAATATTGGGAAGCTGTTTTCTTGAGAAGGATATTTAAATTGTGTTTTGCATTTATTAGGCTTCTTGTATGATCACTGACATCAAGGTGGAGATCTGTTGGGCTGTGATGCCATTTGATCAGTCCAACTAATAGACAGTGATAAAAAGGTCCAATATGGAATCAATAGATAGTCTATTATTAATATACCTAGAAGGCCTACTTAAATCGAGCCCAATATTCAGCCCATGTATCTTAGTCGCTCTTGGACCGTTAGATTAACCCGCTTAATCAACGGTGGATGGTTTTTACTATAAATACGACCCTTTGCTTTGTTTGGCAGCGGGATCATCATTTTCTATTCTCTATTTTTCTCTGCGTCTTCTGGAACCTTCAAGGGCTTCGTCTTTGAAGGTTAGATGTTTCTTAAATTATCTTATGGTGTAATCGTTTAATGTCGAACACACTACACTAATAGTATGTTTGTATGTTAAACTAAATATGATTAGACACTAAAAAGACAAATAAATAAAAGATTGATATATGATTTTATCTTAGTCCTTTGTTAAAAAAATTTATTTCCTTTTCTTAGTTTTTTATTATTAATTTCCATTTGTACCCTTAATTATCAGTTAAGAGTTTAGGGATCAAGTGTGTAATTTCAATGAAGACAAGGATTAGATTTGGTCTACTTTTTTACTTGGTTGTTTTTTATTAAAAAACAAAATTAGGGCCGTTTGATTTTCATTTTTTGACCACAAAAATAAAAAATATAATCGTTATCCATCACATCAAGCCACCATATTTGACTTTCTATCTTTTGTGTGGGTCTCATAACGACTATATTTTTTATTTTCATTTTTAAAAAAAATGAGTATCAAACGAGATTTTAAAGGAATTGTGAAGTTCTCTTTAATCAAATCAATTATTTGGTGTTCACATTCCTAAATTCGTCTGTATTCTTTGTGAATAAGAATATTTTAAGATTTTTCTTTGTTCACATTTATTTCACTCTTTTGGCCACATTGTTCAATCTAGGGTTAATGACTCATATGGTCACTGAACTTTGTAAAGAAATTTCACGGGATCACTGAATATTAAAAATTATTCAAGTTATCACGAACTTTGTAAAAGGTTTATACAGTGTCATTGAACTTTAAAAATCAATCCATTCATCACTAAACTTTAAAAAGGATTTTTACGGAATCACTGAACTTTGCAAAATGTTTCTTAAGTTATTACTGAATTAGTGATCTCCTTAGAAAATTTTTGCAAAATTTAGTGATGAATTAGATGATTTTTAAATGAAAACTTTTTGCAAAATTTAGTGATCTCGTGAAAACCTTTTGCAAAGTTTAGCGACGACTTAAGTGATTTTTAAAGTTCAGTGATCCCGTGAAAACTTTTTACAAAGTTCAATGACGATTTGGGTTATTAACTCTTCAATCTACCCATATTCAGTCCAATTCAATATAACAAATATGCATTTAAATATTCTTCCATTTATTTTCATTGTCGCGTGAAATAGAAATCGAGAAAGAACAATCAAAACCAATGGAAAGCTTAAGTGCTTAACACAAATTTCATTAGAGTGCAAATTACTGCAAAGACATTAATTCCACATATATACAAGGCCATGATAATCAAAAGAAAAAAAATAGTAATAATATTTACAAGAGTCAAGAAACTACTCATAAAAGGATATCACTTTCTTCACACAGAGGATGGACTCATAAGTCTTGAAGATAAGTCAACTCTCCTATTCTACTCATAATTACAGGACACTGATTAGGGTTCTTTATTTACAAAAAGTCCATTTTACCCTCACAAAATCATCGTTTTCTCCCCAAAGAGTCAACGATCCAAAGCACTTAGCACAATCCTGTCCACATAAGTTAGTTCAAGTTAGTGAATTGTACGATAAGCCAAACAAGTACTACTAATTTGCTCTAAATTCAAATAGACGATGTTTTGATCGATGATCAAGTATACAATTGATCGAATCTTGAGTAATGTGTAATCCGGGAATCGTGTAAAAAGGTAAAAGAAGAGATAACTAACCAATCATAACCAGTTGGACTCTTTGGATCAGATTGATGCACTGAGGCTGAGGTTGATTTTCTCCTTGTCAATTTCTTGAAGTTCCCACCTGAAGTGCTTGCTAAAATGCACTCACAAAAAAACCAATATAAAAAATTTGCCCATAAATTTTTATAGCACATTGAATTAAACATATATTAATTTAGCATGAAATGAAATTGATATAGTAGCTGGATGATATTATGGTAGTTTGAATTTTTTTATCTTTTAGTAAAAGAATAGAGATGTGTTTAAACTGAAATTTACGAAAACTTTTATCAAAAGCTTTTTCAACAAATTTCTAAATATTAAATAACATTGTTTTTGAGTAGCGATGACATAATAATCCATCTTGAATTCCTTGAACGTACCTCGAATATTTGTATTTTTTCATTTTTGTTTTTAAACTTAAATGTGATTAAAAATAAATATTAATTAAATAGTATTATAAATGAAATTATCTTAATCCCACCTCGTCTCGCCTTACTTCCCAGAAATCTCCTATGATTAAAGACAAAAATGGTAGTCCTAGCACTACATCGTGGTCGTCCTTTCTTTTGTATAAAAAAAAAATCAAAGAATAGAGTTCCATGTTTGTTGGAGATATTATGATTTCAATCAAAGTCAACAATTAATTTCAACCACGTATTTTGTAAGATTCGTAACTTTTCATCAAATTTTATCAAAATCTGCTAAAAATTCGATTTGAATCCCTACCAAATGAGAACCTAATATAATGATCATGTATTATTTATTCTATTTTTCTACTAAATTCTTTCCAATCATACTACATGTACAACATTTATCGACAATATTGGTTGATAACTACACACTTGATACCATCACATCCATCCATTTTAAAAATTGTTAAAAACTAATTTTATATCAATGGTTCAAATTTTAACAACACATGATTGTCAATCACGATTGTGCAACTAACTTTATTGAGTTTTTTATAGGTCTTACCCAGTATACCAAGCTCACCCCTAACTAATAGAACCACAAAAGGTCCATGCAAGGGGTAGTAAAACTGAATTCTTACGTGAAAATGGCGATGTGGGAGTGCTGGAACTAGCGGGAGAATTCGGGACCGATCCAGAGTCAAGAGAAGAATTAAGGTTATGCGGCGAGCCAGGGGTGGTTCGGAGAACAGTGATGCTCCGAGTAATCGGGATTTGATCATCAAGTGGTGGAGGAATTACAACATACGGCGGAGCAGCCGTGGATCTAGTCGCCGCGGCGGATAAAGAGTTGTATTTTCGGAGTTTTCCAAGGCCGGAATCTGGCGTTGGTCCGGCAAGCGTTTCGTCCCAAAGCTTATGAAGAAAACCCATGATTTTAACTATGAAAATGAATTAAAACTGTTTTTTTTTAATAGTTTTTTTAAGAAAAAAAATTCTTTTGTAACAACCGAAAAAAGATGATGTTTCACCAGTTTCAGGCGTGAAAAAACGGTGGTGGAGCAGCACCTGTTATACGACTGTTACAAAGAAGGAAGGAGGAGGAGAGAGAAACTAAGCCTGTTTGATGTAATCTGATTTTATTGTGATAAAATGGAGAGAGAAATTAGGGTTCTTATAGAGAGAGAATGGAGAATTTAGGTTTAAAAAAATGTATGGGTTATGGATAATGTATGGCTCCGGCTAATATGGCTTTGTTTGAAGCCGTTGAAAATTTATTGGACATTCAAATCTTGACAAAACAAAAGTAGGATAAACCAATCAATTTTGTGAGAAAATATGATTGTCCAATGGTTATTGGTTAAGAAGTTAGTTAAAAGCATGTTTGAGAGTTGTTTATAATTCATTTAAATTACAAAATATATGGATGAGCGTTGAATAAGTTACTAATATTTTTGAGTTTCACGAAACATGTGGATAAAATATATAAGTAATAAAATTACTTATTTGTCCCTTGTATTCTTAAATAAGAAGAAAAAATACAAATTTTGACTAGATATATGTCCTTCATGAAAAGACATGCAAATAATTTATTTTTTTTCACAAAAACTATTATTAGGAGCATGATCTATTAATTAATAGAGGCTAATGATAGGAATACGATGAAAAAGTTAGGAATATAAATGTGAATAAATAAAAGTTAAGGTACATTTAATACAATTAAAATGCGTTGCATTTTATTAAGAATTAGCATGTAGGACTGAATTTTACAAGTATATTTGAATAAGTTATTTTTATTGTTACTCATCGTCTAGAGGTAATTCCTTACCATCTTCATGGGATTAAATCTTGAATTTTGGTGAAGTGGAAATGTTGGGGAGATCGCGAAAGTGAATATTTTTGCATTTTTTTGTTAATTCATTATTCATTCTAGAACATGCTACGTTTGTACTTGTCTACTTATTCTTTATGTTAAAACAATTAATGAAACTATTAATTCAATTGAATTACCTAACGAATTTGGTTGACAACCTCCTAGCTTTAATTAATTCAATGGCACAAAGATATTATGCCACTACATTTTATGACCATCAAGTTTCACAGTGGTTCATAGTAATTAACATATTTATTGTTTGGTTTCAAAAGAATATAAATCTTGAAAATAATTCAAATCTCTCTCTATCCTTACAATATTGCAGAAGAATTATATTCACTAAATTTCCAAAAAAATAAAAAAAAAAACACACAAAAAGGTAGAATCATGCTATATTGACATAATGTTACATAATACTTTATCCTTAAACTGTTTTAAATACATTCAATTTTTATCCAATCATATCTGATCAACTAACATTATGTCATTTCATCTATTAACCACTTTCTATCAAAGTGACATAACGTAAAAAAGTAACTATCTTATCTAATAGTCGACACATTGGATCACTAGGAATAATAGCTTTGAAGGAAAATATAAACTATATTTTTGCCATACTTAAACAATTTAATCCATGAAAATCAATTTGCATAAATATTAGGCTCTTGTTTGATCCTCATTCTTTTCAAAATATATTTTTTCTCTTATTTTTAATCACACATTCTTCAATAAAATAATATTACATGTAAATTTAAAATTTTTTCTTACTTTTTAATAACACATTTTCATCAAAATAGTATTTCAAAATGCTTTTTGGCTAAAAAAAAAAAGAAGAAAAAGAAAAAATATAACCCAAACAGGCTCCTAAGTAGTGAAGCCGAGCTGACCAAGAATAACTCGAACAGAACTGGAGAAGGTGACTTGGTCATCCGTATCCGAACTCCATTACTTTTGGACACGTCATGGGATAAGGTTGAAAGTTGGAACTTTTTGGTTTAGGAGGCCCCACATACAGTCACGTGATTGGGATGGTCCACCCTTGAACCAGTGTTAATAATTGAATTAGATGGGCCGGACTAATCGATTTGAATCATTGAATGTAAACGCCAAAACTGATTGGGTCATAGTAAATTAGAAAAACCGGTCAAAATCGGAAGATTTGATAAATGGTAAAATAAAGGAAATTTGTATTTTTTGTCCTCAATTTTATCTTTGTGAAATGTAATAAATTTATTCTTAACTTTTTTTAGCGGTGAACATGATTCCGTTTGACTTTGATTTCAAGAGAACAGAACCAAACCATGAACCAATGATTTTTTTAATATTGTAACCAAATGATTTCTTTATTTTTTATTTTTCTTTTAAGATATGGATCCAAACCAGAACCAAATAGCTCTCAACTCTAAACAAAGCCATTATTATTATTATTATTATTTTTTGTAGAATCGATGGTATGGTTCTGGTTTGGTCCGATTTGATTTGATCATTTGATCCACCCCTACTTTTTTTAATATAATTTGTCTTCAACCTTTTCAATTATATAAGAATTATTGAAAAGTTATAATTTTTTTTAAAAAATCAGTAAAAAAAAGAAATAAATTGGTTGTGGAGTATCATAACTTTTCAAAAAATACAAATAAATCCAACAACCAAGCTCAACACCTATCCCACTCCATCCCAAGTCGCAACTATCATCACTCCCCAAATGCAACAACGCCGATCAACGACACCACCATAAAAAAAAGTTAATTTACGAAAAATATCAAATAATAAAAATATGTTTGTATAAAAAAAATTAGCAGTCTATATCACAGCCTAGTGGCGATGATAATTCTGAGATATATAGTCCTATTTTTTTTTTTTAACCTTTTTTTTTTTTTTTTGTGAATTAATTTTCTATTGTTGTGGTAGTGATGCCTCATATGACGTGGTCGCATTTATGGAGGTTGTATTAAGATGAAAATTTTTAAATTCCATTTTTATCTATAATTATTTTAGATGAGATTTATTTATTCTTTTTCAAAAGATATATATGGAACTCCAAGTGAAAATTTTCCTTATTTTTGTTGTTTTACAACTTTGTTTTATTTCAATGTCATATAATGGCTAAAATGAACAAAATGATGAATTTCGCTACGAAACTGAAATATTGAGTTATAATTATGCTAAAGAAAGATTGAGAATATATTTTTTTTATGCATTTCACAAGTGTTGGGAACGAAAAGTTCAAATTTCCCTAAAATAAAAAAATAAATAAATAAATTCTGTGGGGATATTCCATAATTAATTAATATAAAAATACCAAAGTAAAGTAAAATGGGAAACTTCATTTTGCTCACGATAATCATCAACTTCCTTGGCAATCAACAACCAACCAACTTGTCGTCCTTCATTGCCGGCATTGATTGTCACTAATTATCTATTCAAGTGATGTATCTGTTTGTAACTTTTAGCTCCCGTTTGATGGTCTTATTGAGAAACAAATGATGTTTTAAATAATAATTTTTTTGAAAATGTATTATTAAAAAGTAAATAAAAGTTTTGGATTTACATATAAAAATATTTTTCTATGTAAATGTTTGATTAAAAATGAGTATGTGCTGTAAATTGTAAGTTTATTAGCTTATGACAATTGCATTCCTGCAACCGTATAAATTATTATTATTATATCCCTGATTCTTCCTTATAAATATAAGATTTTGATTCTTAATAAAATACATACAAATCTATTAATTTTTATTTTCTATTTTCTTTTTCTCTCTTTTCAAAACACGTTATAAGCACGATAACTTTATTTATTTTTAATTCAAAGTCCAGTATTCTTTGTGAGAAAAAAGAGGTGAAAATACTTCGCTTATGTTTCAAAGGAAACTTCAACTTTAATTCATGTTCATATAACAAATGAATTCGATGAAGGTAATAAAATCTTTCATAATGCATGACCTCCTCGAGTAAAATGCATCTATAATGGCCCCATTTCTGTTTCTTCCCAATTTCGTTCTTGATTTTATAAATCGTAATTGTGTGTACTTGTTTCTTTAATTGTGTCCTTCATGTGTTTCATATATTTTGTACTTGTGTTTTTATTACTTTTGTGGCATGCAACAACAGCAACAACAACAATAATAATAATCATAATGGTGCACTTGATATTTTAGTTGCTCAAGTATCGTTATTAATTTTTTGAAGTAGATAGAACATATGCATATTCTAATTAAACTCTCTTCATCAATTATACGTAATATGTACGTTTATGGTGATTGTTAATATTCTGTGTCCTTAATCTAATTAAATATTTTGACATGTAGTAGTACGACATTATAATTAATATTTCAGAAAATATTAATTATAAATTTATGTATTATAAATAATTTATTGTTGCTCCGAAAGTTGTACAACATTACAATTAATATTCTTAAAAAATATTACTTGCTTCTAAAAATCATAAATTATAATTTTCAATCTTCTAGGAGAATATTAGCATATTGTTCTTGAAGAAACAATAGTGAAATACAACGTGCTCCCAAAGTAGCACGTGTTTCAAAGAACAAATTATTTTAAATTAGTGTTTATCCCTGAAAGAAAACACATAACTTTTGTCATGTTGATATTGACTACTTGATTAACTATTATATGATATTTAATCATATTTTTCAAAACTGAAAATATTTTCTTTTGCTTTATTGTGTAGTTAATCAAATGGAAAATATCACAAAACTTGAATTTGCTACACTAAATATATCTAACAAAAATTATCTATCATGAGTACTAAATACTGATATTCATCATGTCTCAAAAGGTTTGAGAGAGACAATAAAAAAAAAAAAAAAGGAAACAATGAACCTCAACAGAATCATGCAAAAGCACTCATGTTCCTTTGTCATCATCTTTGCGATAGACTGAAAATGAATATCTCACTTTAAAGATCCGTAGGTTCTCCAAAAAAATTTTAACTAAAAGGTTTTATTTACGAATGACTATAGTCCTCTCCAAAGCCTGCTATGAGTGAATGCACTTTCATTTGTAAAACTTCAACACTGTTAGTGAACACAATTCTGCACTGTTTAAAATATGTTCAAAATTGACTTCATATAAAGAAAAATCATTGATGCAAATATGTTAAAAAAAACTTTTTTCATCTGTTACGCCTCAAATGTGTACCTACAATAGCAATATCGTGAGCGTAGTTTCAAAAAGTGCTCAAAACTCATATATTGTCTACTTATAGCTGAATAAAATAATGAACTAGTGATGAAAAATTATGGGGTTACGTCCAACTGTA